AAACCCCTGAAAATAGTATTTGAAAAGAGCCTATCGTTGCAATTTACTATGTAAAATAAGCTGATCATATGAATGTCAATCACTCAAATTACATAGTAAAAAATTTACCCCCCTGATCTGCGTGACAAATCGTGTGACTGGTACGTATAGTACGTACAGTACGTACGTATAGTACGTACAGTACGTACGTATAGTACGTACAGTACTGTACGCGGCACATCACTAATTGTATCATTCAGTATTATCTGACAACACATTTTATTATTATAGCGATCAAGCTAAGTTTTAGCATAGATGGTGGCAGAATTCAAAAATGGAATTTCGACAATGAAAATGAATAGTAATAATTTCCATTTTTGAATTCTACCACCATCTTTCTTTAGAGCCGTTACATTTGGTCTAGCACTTATTTTTAAATAAATGTTTTTCACTGATTTCCTAGTAATAGAGGTAAATTATGAAATGATGCAGTATAGTCTACAGTAAAATTGCTCAAGGAAAGCATTTTGTTATTAAGACATTAAAAGTTATTTCTTAAGCATATTTTCAAGAACTAAGCGAAATTTGATTAACGACCCTAGCGTCGCCCGCAAAAATGATAGCCAGACAGACGTGTGATTTCGAATCTAATTATCAGGCATTACAATAGCAATAGTATCTTTCTTCAATTGCTATTGTCATTTATGATAGCAGTTTTTTACACTTTTAACTTTTCCTTGATTTTTTTTTTTAATAATACATATATTAATTTAAATTAAAAACTTTTTTTTACTATATCGAAGCAACTGACCGAAGTCTACATGGGGAATCGTTATATTCAAAACTATGAAGACTTTTGATGAAAAAAATTTATTATCAAAAAAAAAAAAAGGTCAAATTAGAAACTTTTAGAAACCAAAAAGATGCTTATAATTGAAAAACGTTCTAATTTCAAGTGACGATTTTAGCATCGTGAACTTTTCGTATTTCAAATAGATACAATTTTGGTTTATAAGTTCAATATTGTAAATGTTTTTTCATAGTTTTTAAATGAAATAGATCTTTGTCAATTTGTTGTCTATTGGTTCAACATAAAAAAAAAAAGCACACTATACAAAATTATTTTTTAAGAAATTATAACCTTTTCTATACAGAACTAATGCAAAATTTAAGAATTTTTTGGTTCGTTATATCCGGTGTTCATTATAGTAATAGTTAATCAAAAGTACAAAATTTATGAATTACGATTTTTGAAATTTACCTTATCATATCGATAATGATAATTAAACTCCTATGCTTCAAATTTTGATCCGAAATCACATGTAACCAGCAGATTTATCCGGCTACAATTTACGGGCAACGCTAGATTCGTTAAATCTGATTAACGATGTCACGTGATCGTGACATTTTATGCTGTGGGAAATTGGGAATTTTATTATCCGATGATCAAATTAATCAAGCAAAAAATTTTTTAGACCTCTGATCATCGATAACGCCTCAAATCCATCTTAAGTATTACATAGATATTAGAGTTACTAGTCAATTATTAGCCCATTGGTCTTTATAAATTTGCAAGGTTAGTTATGCAAATAATTAAAAAAAAAAGGATAATAAATACATTGGCTTCTATTTCATTTTTATATTATTTTCGCCTTTAATTGCCTGTTGCATTTCCTTTATAATTAGTTTTGGAATCCCTATCTGGATTATCAGTCAATTAATTCCAAAGACTTTCGGGTATTATTTCTGTTTGATCAAATTTTCAAAAACATGATAGATTTAAAAATTGTCAATTTTACAGGAAAATGCAATTGCCAACTATCTTGCAATCTCTCAACAGTGATACTAAAAGATATATCATGAAATGGGCGAATATTGTTCGAGAAAAACACAGTTCAGATGATGTTGACAGCGATGATGATGATAATATAACTTATTATGGAGATCCTCTTCTCATAATTGAATGGAATGAAACTGGACTTATTCAACGAAATATTCAAAAAAATACTGTGGTGAATTGTATGTATATTAATTATTGTAATTTATATTTATTGAGAAGACTTTTAACAAATAATACTTTGTTCTACAGATATTCGTACATTTCAAGGTTGTAATCCTTTTCCACACGTTGGTCGACCTCCATCGGATTCTCTTTTCTATATTGTTAAATCGCGAAATATTCCTGCTCAACAAACAATCAATAAAATTATTTCTGGATTACAACGAATATATTTGGAGCGTAATGTACCTTCTTTAGGAAGGGTCTATACTGTAGTTACAGAACGAAAAAATACATTTGAAGCTGCTGAAATTTTAACGGTTTTTTCCTTTTAATTTGCGTATTAATTTTTAATATTACATATAATTTGTAAGCGCGACATTGCTTATATGAAATCATAAAAATTTTCAACAATATGATCTTTTTTTATTATCATATGTCCTATAATATTAGGCAAGTTTTTCATCTCATTCTACCATTCAGTTAAAAGAAAATCAAGTGCGAATATTCGGAATTTAAGTTTTACAAATGTATTACTCATTACAAATCAATGATATAAAAAGGCGTATTTATATATAATTATGTAGAATATTCACTGAGCTTTATAAAAACTTTATGTCAAAAGAAAGTAAAATTTTGCAAAATTTGTATAATTTAAAATTTTTGCTTAAAATAAATTACGAAACTAGATAGCTGTGTGACGTCATCGCACGAAACCAGGAACAGAAGAAATTGATCGTGATTAGACTTGAATGTTTAATATGATAAAGAAAGGTGTAGTTTATTATAGTGTTGTTAGGCAAAACCTAGATGTTTTGCCATTGGCAAAAGTCAAAACTAGTTTCGACTTTTGGCAAAAAAAAATTAAAATGCCAAAACTGGCAAAACT